AAGACAAGCTCTCACATGGAATCCTGAAGGTCAAAGGAAAAGAGGAAGACCAAAGAACACATTACGTCGAGAAATGGAGACAGACATGAGGAGAATGAACAACGATTGGATTGAAGTAAAAAGGAAGGCGCAGGACAGAGTGGGTGAGAGAAAGCTGGCCAGCGACCTATGCTCCATTGGGAGTAACAAGCGTACGTAAGTAAGTCATCAGATCATACTGATCTGAGTGATATTAACCATTTAAAATACAATTCGTTTATGACTGATAACTTTCCATAATAGTCCATATCTCATTTATAAAATCACTAATTAGTTATAATTGTTATACTTAATCTATTTTTACAAGCATCAAGTAAGTTTTGATGATGTGTCGTTTGAAATATACACTGAATAGATCACAGTCGAGTTTTTTTTAAAAATAGATCGTACTCTATCATCTTTTCCTAATTTCTTCTTCAGCTGGAAGCTGGTTTGTTCTCTCCCACAGAAGGCTGTTTGCTAATGGTATCAGGCCAATGGATGTTGAGTATTTTGCGTAGAAAACCATTTATAAATACTTGTACCTTCTTGATGGTGGTTGTTGTACTTTTCAAAGTTTCAGCTCCGTACAGTAGAACTGCCTTGATGTTCATATTGAAGATTTTCACTTTGATATTGGTTGACAATTGTTTTGAGTTTCATATGTTCTTCAATAGTAGGAATGCTGTGCTTACTTTGCCAATCCTAGCCTTTACGTCTGCATCTGAACCTCCCTGTTCATCGATGATGCTTCCCAGGTATGTGAAAGATTCCACATCTTCCAGAGTTTCGCCATCAAGAGTGATTGGAATGCTGTTCTCCGTTTTGAATTTGAGGACTTAGGTTTTTCCCTTGTGTATGTTGAGGCCTACTGATGCAGAGACTGCTGCTACACTGGCTGTCTTCATCTTCATTCGTTCGTGTGTATGCGATAGGTGGGCTAGGTCATCTGCAAATCCCAAATCGTCTAACTGGTTCTGAGCTGTCCATTGTGTGCCGTGTTTTCCATCAAATATCGAGGTCTTCATAATCCAGTCAGCCACCAGAAGAAAGAGGAAGGGAGAGAGCAGACAGCCTTGCTCTAACTCCCAGGGATTTGAATCGACAACTACATCTCTGTGCTAATGTGGTATGGCAACTTGAACTGATGTACGTACGTACGAAGTTCTACGTTGTTACTGACTGACTGACTGACCAGGGCAGAGTTTAAATTATTTTTTCTGGTTAGCGTTTTTTTAGCGAGTTAGTTTTCTACGGGATGGGGTCGCTAACCCCATGCCCAACCCTCCTTCTTTACCCGGGCTTGGGAGTGGCAGTAACTCTAGAAGAGATACAGGCGAAGTTTTTGACATTAAGATCATGTTTTTGCGAAAAGTGTTATGTTAAATTCACTTGATATTATTGTTTACTTGAATCTTCCCATTGATGTTTAGGATTACAAGTGATCATTCTGTTATTAGCATATATGCATACTATGTGTATCACCTTGATATTGCTTTAATTCAAATGTATTATAAGCAAAGATAGATATTGTCCTCTAGTGAGGTCATGAATACATACAACTAGAAAATAGCATATGTTATAACTTGTGACAGCAGATTAGATGGCAGCGAATTATCGATCGGAACAAAGACGAGTAAAACACGTAAGAACGGCCTAGAGTCCTGATTGGTCCTGCTTTCCTGTCCAGCCCAGCCAGTTTAGTCCAGAACGCAAGTCTCAGCCTCTGAGATATGAATCATTATATATCAAACATACTCTGTTTATATACCAATCAAACAGATCACATCGTACCAGTAGGGAAACGACACGTGAAATAAGTATTGACCAATAGGAAAATGATACCACTCCAAGTCCAAGGATAGCATTAGACTTAACAGGATAATTGTTGGGATATTTTTCTGAATATCTCAACAGCATACAAGGACATGACAACTCCATGAAATTCAATCACTCTAGTTTATATCAATCCCTTACTAAAACCAAACTTCATAAATTGTTTAAACATACAATCTAAATTATATATTCTCTTAACAATCGATAAACTTTGTTTTAGAGAGGAAGAGAGAAAGAGGGAGAATTGTCTACAATAAATCAAAACAAACAAACTAAGCGGCAATCTCATTAAAGTGAAATACAAAAACTGACAATATTCAACAATATAACATCATAAAGTATGAATTCATAATGACAATTGAACAGAGAAAATAACTAATTTTCATTGTTTATCCTTTAGATAATAAATCATTACTATACAATGTATATGTATGTATTTATGCAGTCATTTCTTTATAGCATTGTCAACAATGTTAAACAATCTAATTCGTAGTAAACCTATTCTTTATGAAAAACGATCCAGAGAAAAAAAAGATCAAACAAACTTAGTTGTATACAATAAACTAATGACAATCATACTCATTCATTTAATGACTAGAATATGGTCATTATTTGTAACTATAGATCTTGTTGGAACGCTTGAATAGTACAGTACTTGAACTAGTGTGTGCATTGTAAAAATGATGAATATAGTATTACTTAAATAGATTTATTTACTATGAGCTAATATTAGTTGTAGTTTTGGGAAATCAATAGTATCTAATAACAATCTTACATAGGATTGAACTGAAGACTATCATATCTTCAAGTGAAAGTGCTATGGTTAAATCACTTGATCTAGAATCTATTTAGTTTATAAAGTAACATTGTCCTTCATAATTAAAGATCTATTAATTAATGACTGTTCAACACATTCAAACACCATTCATCTCAAATATTCTCGTGGTAAATTGAAAAATTTTATTTGTTCAAGATAATAACAGTATCAGACACTCGTCGAAACAAACAAATGGTATTCATTACTCCATATATTTCTTCTGGCTATTCCCATTTTCATTTAATCCCTTTCTTACTGGAAGATTGCAGTTCATTAACTTTAAACATAAAGTATTTAATAAAATAGCACCAATACAGCTATTCATAACTTTATCAATAGGCAATACTGATTAAAATAGTCTTAATAGATAGTATCTTTGCAATGAATATTAGTATTTTCATTTCATTTATCTTTTAGCTTAATAAATGCAAGAGTTTTCTCTTCATATACATCCCTTCTATCACATTGCGTGTCACTCATGCTTTTGAATATATCTGAGACGTCTGAAGTATTTCTGACTGTTTTTGTTGTAAGTTGAGAACTTAATACTTCAGTGTCTTTATAGATATTAGACACTTTTACAAGTGCTGTTAGGTGGTTGGACTAAAACAACAGTAATCTCAGTTTAAACAGGGTTTGCTCTGGTAAGTACTCGATACCAAAGCGTATCCATATTTAAGAGAAGAATGGTGTTCTTCGTGCAGTGTGAACCTATTGAACACAATACCACTGTTAAGGACATTACCACTGAGCCATTTTGGCTAAACAGGCTTGTAGGTTCTATGTTTTAAATTTTGTTACTATATGCCGTCCACATGGGTTGTACTAACTTTCGGACATACCAAATAATTTACTTTCCTTTGACCTTATTAATTATTCGTTTATAACCTTTAACATTTTTATTTGAGAGTGTATGTGTGTATTGATTACTTCATTCATCACACACTATATCAAGCGGAGTTGGCACACTTACTTTTCTGCTTCGCTTCCCTGCTTCGCGTTTTTGATATGTCTGATTAAACTAGTACATGAAATAAATTCACCCAACGTGATCCATATTTGGGTCCTTATTACTATAACCGCTTAAACAAAACCAAACAGAAGATTAATGTTCATGTCATATCCATTAGTTCGTCCGACTGAGCATCAGATAAACGGGCCACTAAAATATATTTATTCTGATGAACTAATGAATGGTAACCAGTGTGATATTCATCTAATTCTAGGCTTACGTTTTGTGATATCTACCGCACTTTAGCAAGGAATACCTCCTTGTGGACTGTAAATCCATACTACTCAACTTTACAGTCTAAAATGTTACCAATGAACGATGCAGGTCGTTACAGCGAGGTATCCCTTTCTGACGAGTCCTGAATAACAAGATTCAGAGCGTCCTGTAGACCTTCTTTCAATCATTTAAAATTGTAACATGATGCATACGATTTCTACACAGATTAATAATCATACTACAACATCATAGATACAATGTAATCTATATTAAAGTATTAAACAAAAATCACATTGTTCATTACTCTAAGATCAATTCATTGACAAAAACCTATTCAATGCATACACATATGAATAGAAGTAATTCTATTTATTATAAAGATAAATAAAGAAAAATATTTATATATTGACCAATCAAAATAAACAACACAAGAAAAAAAACGAATTGTGATAAAAATAACTTTTGTTTTTTTAAAAAAAAAAGAAAAGAAAAGAAAAAAGAAAAACATTTAAGAAAACATGATAAATCTTCATTTCTATTGTAGAATATTCTTTTACCTTCTCCTAAGTAATGATGAGAAATTTGGAAGTTTCAATTAATTTAAAAAACAAAAAAAAATAAACATTGAAATTAATGAGAAAATTAATTTCCATGGATACATAGATTGAAAATAGTACTACTAGTACTAATACTACCCATACCACCACCACCACCACGACTACTACCACTACTAATGCTATAGACATTAGACAAGTAAGAAAAAAAGGGATAAAATGAAATAGTGTACAATATTGTTTATGTATATGACAAAAAAGTGATACATGAAGAAGAAAAAAATAACATTTCTCATCTGTATTACATCATCATCCATACAGAACAGTATTGAGTAGAAGAAATGAATTATATATCATCAAAACTTATTTACAAAAATTATATGCACAGATATGCACGGTACATGTAATAATTCCTATAAAGAATATATACTTCATTTATGTTGACAACTAAAGAATTTATACTTTAGAAGTCTGTTGATGTATCCATATACATAGACACTATATATATATATGAATGACAAAATGTATACCTTAACCATTTTCTTCATTAATATTCAATTGTATAAAAATATGTATTTTTACATGCAGAATTATCACCAGTATCATTTTCATTTGTAATCATAGTCATATCATGTTTTTCATGTAGAATTTTTTGTTTCTCTAATAATTGTTTACGTGCATTATTAATACGTTGTTGAATTGTTCTATGTAATTGTATCGATTTATCATGATTTTTATTGATTCCAGATAATTTCTTTTATTCAGTAATATTAGAAAAAATATTTTAAAAAATAAATATTGATTTATTATTTAATAATAATCGATTATAAAAGTAATTATCAGAAGGGATTTGTGGGAATTTTAGAAATTTCACAGATTGAAATCATGAATCAATTGAAGCTAGTTGGTTAAGCGCTTGGCGCGAGACCGATAGGTACTGAGGTTCGAATCTCGCAGGGTGCGGGACCGTGGATGAGCACTGCTGAGGAGTTTCATACTAGGACGAAACGGCTGTCCAGTGCTTTCAGGTTTTCTATGGTGGTCTAGCTTCAATTGACTCATGATTTCAACCTATATATTGGTTATTTTTTTGGAAAATAGAAAAAAAAATTTTAATGATAAAATTTTTTCTAGTTAGTCTCTTAGTTATTTATTTATGAATGTCTATTATGCCTTGTCGAAGAGTATAATTCACCCATCAATATTCTTTATCCCACTTTTTTCCGAATAATCCTTTTCAGTTGTTATCAGTTGCTATACATTCATATGATGTTTGCTTCCAATTCTCCACACAATGTGTTTATTGGTCTACCTCATTTTTGCTTCTCTTCAGGATTCCAAGTTAAGGTTTGCCTTGTGATGCATTTTAATGATTTCCTCAATGCATGTCCTATCCACTTCTAACATCTTTTCCTAATTTCCTCTTGAGATGGAACTTGGTTCATTCTCTCCCACAGAAGGCTGTTGCTGATGGTTTCCATTCAATACACATTGAGTATCTTGCGAAGACAACTATTTATAAATACTTGTACATTTTTGATGATGGTTGTAGTAGTTCTTCACGTTTCAGCTCCGTACTGTAGAACCAGCTGTCTTGATGTTCGTATTGAAGATTCTCACTTTGATTGTTGTTTTGAGTTTCATATGTTCTTAACTGTATGAATGCGGCCCTTGTTTTGCCAATCCTAGACTTTACGACTGCATCGGATCCCCTTTTTTCATCGATGATGATTTCCAGGTACGTGAAAGATTTCACATCTTCCAGAGTTTCTTTATCAATTAGAATTGGTTTGATCGATGTTCTGCGTGTTGTATTTGAGGATCTTGGTTTCTCTTTAGTGTATGTTATTGCTTACTGATGCAGAGACTGCTGCTACACTAGTTATCTTCATCTGCATTTGTTGGTGTGTAAAGGATAGAAGAACTAGGTCATTTGTGAAGTCCAAATAATCTAATTGTATGCAATCTATCTACTGTATTCCATGCTTTTGTTCATAAGTCTAATTAACAACACCAAAAATGGATATTTTTCTTAGAATCTTGACCTTAACATGTTTTATAAGGATAAAATCAACATTGTTTGTACAACTCTATTTTATAAATGATCAATAATTGCTACGATATTGTTCTCACGTTTCATAAAAAGAACTAATATCCTATAGCGGTAAATTCTATATTGTTTTCTATCTTCATTCTCCAGTGAAAAGGATAAAATGTTGAAAAACTTATGTTTATTTACATGATTTTTATTATAGAGATATATAATCTCTCTTTGAACCTATCAGCAAACGATGTTATTAACGTGTTCTATAAAAAGAATTCAAGTAAATCACAACATGATGCCGGAAACCATCCTCAAACAAAAACGATTTAATCTTGACTTTTAAACTTCTTGATAGTGTCGTTTTAAATTACTTTTCCTAGATAGAAGTAGAAGATAAGAAATAATAATAATATCAAAGTCATTGTTTAAGATGCGATAATCTAACATTAGATCACCTCTTAATGTAGCGTAAAATAGCGCGAATAGATTAGAGCACCTCATTCCATAATCATACGATAAATGAGAAAGACCTTTCATGAGCGCATAGTTGAATTATCATTCATTTTTTGTATTATTACAACCCGTTAGTGTTCAAGTTTTCAAAGTTTTTCACCAAGAAGGTATATTTATCGATAGAGATGTTATTTATATTCCTGAAACGATTGTTCCAACTAGATATTGGATACCATCATCATCATTTATTTCCAAGCAAAAAAAGAAACGCGTACATTACAGGTAACCTACCTTTTTATATGAAGCTATATTTGTTTGTTTAGTAGATTTCTTCTTACATTCTTTATTCCTATATGAAGAACTGATGAATTCAGATGAACAGCTAGGTAGATCACCAAGAGATTCTTTAATAAGTATTTGTAATTCATTACGAAAATCATTTGAAATCCAATTAACTAATATTGGAAATTGTGATTCAAAACGTCTATACTGTAATAATATTAAATTCCAATAACCTTCTAAATCACTTTTTAATGGAATGTAATTCATTGATTGTTGTTTTTTTATTTGTGTATTAGTTTCTAAGTAAACTTTGCATAATTTACGTAACATTGTAAGATTTCCATTTATTAACATTTGTATATGACCAATACCTGTTAATAATTCATCATTATCTGAAAGAAAATAATTAAAAAATTTGCAATAAAGTTGATTAGTTACAATGAAAATAGTATCTAGCTTGAACTCACCAAAGTTGCTCAGATAAATATAGTGTACAAGGAAATCAGAAAAAGAAAGGTAAAAATAAAGAACCATAGAATGAATACACTATAATGCAAGGTGACTATCATATGAATACAAGATCAGTCAGTTAGTCAGTAACAAAGTAGAACTTCGTACGTACGTACATCAGTTCAAGTTGCCACACCACATTAGCACAGAGATGCAGTTGTCGATTCAAATCCCGTAGTGGTAGAGGCGGTAAAAGTATAAGCAGTAATCGGAAAGATTAGAGTTTGAAGATGTTATTTAAAGAGTATAATTCAGTGAAATAAATTTAGATTCATTGTACTGGATATTTCATTGATGTAATTCATCAAATATACAGAGTTTAGATAAAAGATTCAACATAAATGACTTTTGAGCAAGAGTGTAAAAATATTATGATAACCGACGTATTATATATATATATATATATATATATATATATATATATATATATATATATATATATATATATATATATATATATATATATATATATATATATGGGAAAATACTAGTAAAGTGAACAAGAACACTAGTGAGAACAATCGAATGTATTTAACACAAAATTACAGGATTTGTTAAAATCTAACAATCATAGAGTAAATGCTTAGTTCGTAAAATGTCCATCGATTGTCTCAAAATGACTGAGACTTCATTGTTCTTACATTTTCATACAAATGGCATTCTGTTCCCATTCTTTACTGTTCTATCCTCTTGTGTCTCTGCTACCAGGCTCTCTGTTGACGACTAACATCATATACTACTTATGTCAATATAAGTAGTACACACTACACTAGTAACTTTTGAAAATCCTCTACTTTTAAAGTACACGTTGACAGAGTTAAAGAAAAACAAAATGAACTGCTGAGAAGTATATTTTCCTCTTTGTTAGTAAACAACTTTCTTTCCTGTGTCATAAGTGACTCAAGTAAACAAAGCCTACACGAGCTTTCCATATCTAAGCCGATATTCTGTCAGATATAAACTTACTAGAATTAATAAAACTTCCAAAATAAATGACATAATTAGTAAGTATAACTATATCATTTCAAGAGTTTATATGGATCAGTCTTGAATTGATATTTTATATTTAAAGGTAAAGGAATATATTGCTACTCAAAGAGATGAAATTACCAAGTTACAAATTGACGAGAACCTACGAAATAAAATGAATTTATACTATTCTGCTAGAATCTTTGTTCTTGCTCATTTCAAAATGATAAAAGGAACTATGTGTATGAAATATCTAATTTAATATACTGCACAAGTGTGATAACTACAGAGGCATCACTCTTCTCTCTATACCGGGAAAAGTCTTCAACAGGGTATTGTTAAACAGGATGAAGGACTGCGTAGACGCCCAACTTCGAGACCAACAGGCAGGATTCCGTAAGGATAGATCGTGTACAGACCAAATCGCAACTCTACGGATCATTGTGGAACAATCAATTGAATGGAATTCATCACTCTACATCAACTTCATTGACTACGAAAAGGCATTTGACAGCGTGGACAGAACAACACTATGGAAACTTCTTCGACACTACGGCGTGCCTCAGAAGATAGTCAATATCATACAGAACTCATATGATGGATTACACTGCAAAATTGTGCATGGAGGACAGTTGACAAAGTCGTTCGAAGTGAAGACCGGTGTTAGGCAAGGTTGCTTACTCTCACCCTTTCTCTTTCTCCTGGTGATCGACTGGATCATGAAGACGTCAACGTCTGAAGGAAAGCGCGGGATACAATGGACATCTAAGATGCAGTTGGATGATCTAGACTTCGCAGACGATCTGGCCCTTCTATCCCACACGCAACAACAGATGCAGGAGAAGACAAACAGCGTGGCAGCAGCCTCAGCAGCAGTAGGTCTCAACATACACAAAGGGAAAAGCAGGATTCTCCGATACAACACAGCATGCACCAATCCAATCACAATTGACAGAGAAGATTTGGAAGATGTAAAAACCTTTACATATTTGGGCAGCATCATTGATGAACAGGGTGGATCTGATGCAGATGTGAAGGCGCGGATCGGCAAAGCAAGAGCAGCATATTTACAACTGAAGAACATCTGGAGCTCAAAGCAACTGTCAACCAACACCAAGGTCAGGATTTTCAATACAAATGTCAAGACAGTTCTACTGTATGGGGCAGAAACCTGGAGAACTACAAAAGCCATCATCCAGAAAATACAGGTGTTTATTAACAGTTGTCTACGCAAAATACTTCAGATCCATTGGCCGGACACTATTAGCAACAACGTACTGTGGGAGAGAACAAACCAGATCCGAGTGGAGGAAGAAATCAGGAAGAAGCGCTGGAAGTGGATAGGACACACATTGAGGAAAGCACCGAACTGCGTTACAAGACAAGCCCTCACATGGAATCCTGAAGGTCAACGGAAAAGAGGAAGACCAAAGAACACATTACGCCGAGAACTGGAGATAGACATGAGAAAAATGAACAAGAATTGGATGGAACTAGAAAAGAAGGCCCAGGACAGAGTGGGTTGGAGAATGCTGGTCAGCGGCCTATGCTCCATTGGGAGTAACAGGCGTAAGTAAGTAAGTAAGTACAATGAACTATTTCTGTTAACTTTGAAAAGTTAATGCTTTATTCATAAATCAAAAATAATGAAACTTCGAATGAAAAAAAAAGAAATTTGTACATGTAAAATGATATTTTAAAAAGGAAATAAACAATGATCTCAACCACTGAGATTACAATAATATCCACAAAACTCCTTCTGATATGAATCAATATATGCTCACTAGTGACTAGCTTCATGAGGTATTTCCTGCATTTCTAATGAGAAGCAGTGAACAGTGGAGTTCAACCGGGTCAGTTGTGAAACAGTAACTCAATGAAGACAATGATGGATGTGTCACTCAATTTCGTGAATAGGTTGAAGTTAGACATTAAGACTATTAGATACCGGTCGACTCAGTGGTCTATTGGTTAAGCGTTCACGTGCGAGACTCATAGTTTGTGGGTTTGAATCTTGCGAGGCGAGATCGTGGATGAGCACTGGCACTGAGGAGTCTCACAATAGGATGAAACGACCGTCCAATGCTTCCGGGTTTTCTATGGTGGTCTAATTTCAATTGATTCATGATCTCAACCATTGAAATTACTATAAGATCTACAAAAACCCTTCTGTGATATAAATAAACAATCTACACACTTACTTAAGTTTTCATTTGTCAATTTTAATACATCATCATCATCATTTATAGAATGATTATTCTGATCAATTGTATTTCTTGCTAAATGAATCACATTCATTAATTGATATTCAAATGTTTGTATATATTTCAATAGACGAATTACATAATCTATATCATTATTTGTTGATAATTCTAAATAAGAATTATTATTAATCTCAGTATTTTTAAGATGTTCAAATGGATCATTATTATTATTATTATGAACAGTGTCTGAATGATTGTATAATTCATTTGAAGAAGATGAATACCTTTTCATTAATTCATTAATTCCATTCAAACTTGATGATCTAGATAATGATGAATAGAATAATGTTGATAAATTATCTGATGGTGTATTATTATTATTAATTGTAGTAGTAGTAGTAGTAGTAGCAGTAATGTCTTGATTCTTTAATGATTGTTCATCTTCAAATAAAGTTGTAAGTTCTTCTTTCTTTTTCAATTGAATACAATCAGTTTCATTGGCTTTAGATATTGCTGCTGATAGTTTATTATGACAACGAATGTTTGCTGGTATAAATATATTCAAAGGTTGTTTTAATCTGGCAGATTTAGCTTTAATAGCAAATGCTGTGTTTCTACGTTTTATTGGTGGTGTTTTAGATTTAATAGCTAATATAATATTATTTGAATTCATTTTATTATTATCATTATTATCATCATCATCATTCTGTTCATGCATATTATCTGTCGTAAGACTTATTAACAATTGATCTGATGATTGATAAGTAGTATTGTCTTTTAATTTAGTAGATTTATCAAATAATTCATTAGTTCTATTTTGATCTATTGTAGATTGATCAAGTACATATTTGCATAAAATTATTGGATCATCTTTATGTTGTATATTATAATGATTATTCTGTTGTTCAATAGACGCTTTATAAGGATCTGTATCCAACATAGTTTCATCATCAATTATTGTACATTTTTCAATTGACTGTATCTTATTTATTGGTACAGTTACATGTTTGATTGTTTCATTCTGTTTAAATGAGAGAAAAAAAGAAAGAGTTAAGAATTTCTTATTTTGTTTAAATAAAGTATTGAAGGTATTTCATTTGACTAGACAATATATTATTAAGTAATGATTACATAGTGATTACATAATAATAATAATAATGATCAAACAGTGCTTACAATTAGCTTATCAATTCTTAATTATTTAGATCAGCTTTTCAATAAATAACTATTGATCAGAATACACTTGAAATTTGTGGAATAGTTCATAGTGTAAAGGACAAGTACACAGCGGATGGGGGGGGGAAGGAAGACCTATTAATTGTTTAATGTACAATCATACAGTAGTTTAGTAAAATGTAAATACCATACATCAAATACATTATTTATAAATCTTTTTCGCATTATCTATTACAAAATTTATTGTTAAGTTCCCTTCTTCCTTCTCTTCGTTTCAATTTTCTTAATCCCCTGCACGAAAACATTCCATTTCTGACTGGTGTTATATACTACTTATATCTTCAAACATAAGTAATATACACCACAATAGAATATATTTACATAAAATTAGCATAAAATTGTGAACATTATGTTAGTAGATCTCGTTGCAAGCATGATACCTGTAACCCTCAATGATGAGTTAAGATCACATAATCAAGATTTCCAATTTCATTTGAATTAGAATGGATAGTGAACCCAGTGGTTAGTAGCACTAAACTCCCGTGACTTAATTTGCATACTCAGCTTAATATTCTTTTCGCAACTAATCGATAAACTGGATAATTTTTAGATGTAAATGTCTGTTAATCGCATTTTTTTAGCGTAACCGACTCGTGAACATAATTGTATTTCATGGTGTACATCACAGACTGAACAAGATCCCTATAAACAATTAATATCAAGTTGAAAACAAGATATTCTAGTCGTTGTGTGTATAAATGACAGATTTGAACAAATAAAAAAACATGAATTATTTCAATAGTTGAGATCATGAGCCAATTAAAGTCAGATCACCATGAAAAACCTAGAAGAACTGGACGATCGTTTCGTCCCATTGTGGGACTCCTCAGCAGTGTACATCCACGATCTCGCCTAGCGAAATTCGAACCCACAAACTATCAGTCGCGAACGCGAACGCTTAACCAATAGACCACTGAGCCTGCTGGCATCCAACGGTGTTGATTTCTAACTTCGACTAATCCATGAAATTGAACGACACATCCACCATTGTCTTCATTGAGTTACTATCTCACAACTGACCCGGTTGAACTTGACTGTTCACTGCTTCTCATTAGAAATGCAGGAAATACCTCATGAAGCTAGTCACTAGTGAGCATATATTGATTCATATCAGAAGATGTTTTGTGGAGATTGTAGTAATCGCTCGCGCGCGAGATCGACAAGCCCTGGGTTCGAATCTTACAAGGCCGTATCGTGGATGCGCACTGCCATTGAGGAGTCTCACCATAGAATGAAACGGCCTTCTAATGCTTCTAGGTTTTCCATTATGGCCCAGTTTCAATTGACTCATTATTTCAGTTATTGTAATTACCACAATCTCCACAAAACTCATTCTCTGATACTAAACATGTAGTTATTTGAATCATTTCACACTAATTATTACACAATATATCTTGATATATCTCTAAAGTTTATTTAATATGATTATAAACACTTCTTTTTAATTACTTCCATAAGAATTTATTTCTATACAGTAAAATACCATTGAACATCAATATATCTTCATTTGATATGATACATTAAATATGTACACAAGATATTTCGATAAATATATATATATATATATATATATATATATATATATATATATATATATATATATATATATATATATATATATATATTAACCGAAAATAAGTGAATGATATCAACTGTTGAAAATATTTATATAATTGATTGAATTCATGAATTGGTCTAAATAATAATCATAATAATAATTGTTGAAGTTTGGTTAGTAGACATAATGGTGACGGTTGACAAAGTAAGATACTCAACATCTATTGGCTGGATACCATCAGCAATAGCCTACTGTGAGAGAGAATAAACCAAATTCTAACTGAAGAGGAAATTAGTAAAAGATGATGAAAGTAGATAAGATATACATTATGAAACGCATCAAACTGCATCACAAGGCAAGCGCTAACTTAGAATCGTGAAGGGAAGAGGAAAAGCGAAAGGCCAAACAACACATTACGTCGAAAAATAGAAGCAGAGATGAAAAGGATGAATAGCAACTGAAAAGAACTGGAAAGGATTGCCCAAGACATGGTTGGATGGAGAGTGGTGGTGGGCGGCCTATGCTTCTCGACAAGGCGTAACAGGCGTAAGTAATTAAGCAACCGATGAAGTCTAAGATAAATACTACTAAGCCAGAATACATGCAGTCCAGTGCAAAGCAAGGTACATGGTTCATTACATATGTTTAGGTCATGATAATGATCCTTGCTCACGTTCACATACGAAAACCTTGTTAAGACTTCTTTTATTTCCTCTAAATAGCCAAATTATCATTTTCTCATCATCAGTTGAGCGGCAAAGCCACTACAAAGACACCAATTCAACAATCTTACTAAACTATTCAATCGGAAAATTCACGAAAAATAATTATGTATTATAAGGACATTATTTATGATCTGGAAGTATATATCACTAACTGATATTGGTAGTTTACAGAATGTTTAATAGTATATATATATATATATATATATATATATATATATATATATATATATATAAACCATTGTAAACGTTGATTAGATGGCTTATTCAGTATACAGTAAACCGAAGAACCATGGTACCTATTTATATTCGATAATTTGATTATATTTCCTTGAAAAAGCTTGGATCAGATTGCCAGGTGAAACGCTAGATTTACCTCAAATCCTTTCGCTGAGATTTTACAAATACATATTCTTCCTCTTTAGAATATTTCTATATTCCGGTTGTTGTGTTTTTTTTAAGCATCTAGTAAAAATATATTCGAATGAAACAACATTGAAATTGTCTATATATTCAAAAAAGGTCTTATCAACTAATTAAATAGTCCTTTTTTCCTAATTATTTTAATTGTAAATCTTTAGTCATAATAACATCAATGCACTTAATTACTTACTATTCAATAAGAATTAATTATGAATAAATTTATCATTTCTAATTATCTCTCCTACTAATATTATGAATATGTTTTTTATTAAAATATGTCAATTGTTACCATGTGTCGTTTCAAATGGATATATATATATATATATATATATATATATAGAGAGAGAGAGAGAGAGAGAGAGAGAGAGAAAGAGAGAGAGGAGAGAAGGGGAGGGAGGGAGAGAGAGCATCTAATTGATTATAAAAAACAATCTAATGGAAGTAATCATTTAGAGATTGTTATACTACTATCATATTACATAATAATCATAAACAAATAATTAATTTTATGATATTTTCATGATTAATTTATAATTTAATTACTATATAAAAATAACGAAATTATTGGGTTATTCTCAATAGATAGATTAATTCAAATGGAAAAAAAATTAATTCATTTTTAATGACTGAATGCATGAATCCATTGAAGCTAGATCACTATGGGAAACCTGTAGCACTGTACAGTTGTTTCGACCTAGTATAGGACTCCTTAGTAGTAGTGAGCATCTGCGATGCTGCACGTGGGATTCGTACTCGGATCTTTGATCTTGGGTGCGAACACTTAACCTATAGACCACTGAGCCAGCCAGCATCCATCTGTGTTAGTGTCTAACTTTAATCATTTCACAATATTACGCGACCGTTCACCATTGTCTTCAGTATATACAATAAAATACATCCATGAATTAAATGACTGTACATTTAATTCATTCAATGAGAAAATATAATTATAGTTATATTACAGAATGTTATTAATTGGTAGTTAGTCATAATTGACAAATCTCAATCATATGGTCCAATCCTAATTTTATAAACAATGTTCATGAACATTCAATTATAATCTGTAAAAAATAGATAAGTTTTACTTAGAGATTCTCACTAATAATGTTCAATAGATATGTAAGTAACAACATTTGATACAGCTTATTGAGATGAATAATTTATATCCAGTAAAGTGATGACATGTAACTGTTATGTATTAAATAGCCTGTTGATCTAACAATTAAGTCTTTACCATTAGACCTAAGGGTTTATGAATTTCATATCTAGAGAGATGGTGATTGTACACAGCTAAAGAGTTGCATACGATAAAAAGTTAGATATCCAATGCTTCGTTTTCTTTTCTTAATGTTTTACTGATATCATATAGAAAATAATCACATACCTATTATCTTTCCAATACATATTAAACATACATATTCAGTAATTCCAATAAATAGTTTACATATCTAAATACAATTATACATTAAAAACATTTTGAAGAAACCTGATTGTTTCTATTAAGTTGGATACATGATAAAGTGATTATTATTTTTTAATAATCATTTTCCTTAGTCTGACAATAATGAAAACATGTAAATACTTTACATTAATCATTAAGGTTTATTTCAATAGATTAAAACAAAGCAGTACTATGATATTGTCTTAAGATAGTTTTGAGATGGTAGAGATGGGATTAATCGTTTGTTGTTTTTTTTTGAATTACTTTTATCTTTAGTATTATATTAACAAATGAAAGGAAAAGATACTATCATATAACCAGAAAAAGATCATATTAGTTATTTCATAATGTGAATATCTAGTATCGATACTGGATAATGAAAAACTAAGGGTATTCTCTTTAGGTCTAAACATTTGTGATATTCATAATCATTGTAACCACACAGATACAGATATTTCTTTTGAAACATTCCATTATAAGAATTTTCATCTAAAAAAAACTTTCATCAGATAGTATTTCATAGTATTTGGGCGTCGAATTGATATAAAACTCTTAATTATAATGAATTACGGTATTTATAATGTTGATGATTATAATACATTTAAAAAAGTTTGAACTAGATTATATTGGGGTGAAATGTT